AGTTAGGACCCGCCCTGTCTCCCAGGTGATTGACAGACACCTTGTCCAATGAGAAGAGAGGAGGGTTGGTCTGGCTCAGTCTGGCTAGACACCGCCTTACACGAACCTCCTCCTCCTTCTCATCCCCGTTTAGTTTGTCGCTCTCTGGCCAGTTACTCCGACTCTACTTTGTCTTCGGCAAACCGAAGAAGTGCTCGCCGAAGTCCCAGCCATGGAAGAAGATAATATAATAATGCCTGTTTGACCAACGGAGCTTGTCCAAGGTGAGTTTGCGGGATTTTCTAAATCAGTGGAGGGAGGAATTAGCGGCTACGAGGCTGCGGCTTTGGGGGAGGCGAAAAGTTTTATCCGCCTCTCCACGGGACAGGACACTAGTGTAGCTGCTCCGGTGATGTCTGTGGGACCGTGACGTCATGGTGTGTTGCGTCGCTCAGTAATAATAAAGGACGCCTGTCAAACCCTGGTTATAGGTTTAATTAAATGCACATAAAAAAAAAATAAATAAATGAAAATATATTTTTTGTAATGTTTTATCAGAATTTTGTTTAAAGGTAAAAACATTTGGCTTGTTATCTATTAATATATATTTTTTTATTAACTTTTTTTGTAACAAGGCTGTAACAGGTAAAGACAACTTTATGTAAACATCTAAATAGAGTAATCATTGGGGGTTCTAGACAGGGGCCTAAAGGGGCCAATGCCCCACTGAAGATCTAATACTGAATAATTTTTTTTTTTTGTATATATAGATATGCTCTTGCGCTAAAAACATCTTAAAATAACGATGTCAGGGGTCTGCAACCTGCAGCTCCAGAGCAGTAAAGTGCTTTTTGGGCTCAATTAATAAATGACACGTTGTCCTGCTTGTTTGATTTACTCTATGATAAAAAAAAAAATAAATGCCTCCCTGGTAAATGTGGTCAAGAACCGCACCATAAGGTAAGGGCAGATAATTTGGTTTTAATCTTGATATATAGCAACATACTGGAATAAATTTAAAATCTAGATAAGTCATTTTTTTTTTTTTTTTTTAATTTCATTTGTTCTTGAATTGAGAAGGTACAAGATACATTTGCCAATGGAACAAGATAATTTAGATTTAAAATAAGAAAACACAATTGCATTGGCTAATCTAAATTGCATTTTATCGAAATATCTTATTTTTAAGAGTAAAAATACTCATTCCATTGGAAATTATCTAATTTACCTACTCAGTTTAAAATTTTCTCTAATAGAAATGTATCTTAATATTTCAATATTTGGTTCTGGTTCTGGAAATTTAGATAAAAATAAAGCCTGGAGACGGTCCAGGTGGTTACAGAAAAGTCATGTTTTATTCTCTGCATTAGTTCTGTTACCAACATTAACGTTGTCTTTCAAAACCAAGATGTAAAAATTTAAGGTATTTAAAAAGTGAAAAATCTGGGCTCATTATTATCACTGAAAACAAATTGTAACGCAGCACTTTAAATGTAGTTTGTGACTGCTGCCAGTAAACCAGGAACACATGATCTCTGTGGAATTTACTGTCTTTTTCATTCATTAAAATAATGGCAGTTTAATGACTTACAGAATTCCTTTTATTCACCCACCAGATGTTTCTACTATATGATATCTTCATTAAAACAAACACAGAGACGGCCAAGATAAAACACACCCTGCATGATTTAATTTGAAAGTAAAATTTATGATTATATTCCCAAGTTCCAACCTAAATTATTGACATTTTTGTAATTGACTTTACTTTACACTAATACATTTTTGTGTTAAAGTACCAAACTGGTAGACTTTTAAAGAAAAATCTACCAGTTTGGTACTTTAACACAGAATTTTATTACAAAAATGTTAATAATTTAGGTTTGTAATTTACTTTACACTAATGATATTTTGTGTTAAAGTACCAAACCAGTAGGTTAGTAGATTTAAAGAAAAAACTCAATACAACAAACATTAGCTACCAAGCTATATGTTCATTTTATAATTTTGCTAATTTAAACATAATGAAGTCAGGTCCAAACCTTCAATAATAAGTCTTGGGTATGTTTGTAACTAGAATGGCTCAACAATAACAATAAATGTTATTGTGTTGTGGTTGTTATGATGAGTGCTTCTTAAAACTTCAACACTAAATAAACAACAGTTTTTCAGAAGCCCTAGCCTGTAGCATTAAAACTTTATCTTCCAAACTACTGTCATGCCGTTGCTGAAGGTTTAAAGTCTTTTTGATAAAAGTGCAGAGGAAGGTAAAGTCACCCCTCCCCCACCTGCTGAAAGCCCAGAAACCATTTCCCTTGTTATTAGGAAAGAAAAATGCAGCTTGCGCTGTGGCTAATAAACAGTAACTAATGTTATCACCTTTTTTCAAGCTTATGAGTAATTTTTGCTTTTCTACTCAGAATAAAGGCAAGTAAATAATGCTATACTTGTAGTTGATATTTATTTAGTGTAAATGCTGTGGTATTGTTTGTCATTGCAAAAGACAGTAGTTCAGCACCTCTATAGTGTCTCATTTACTCTGTTAGTTCCCAGCTCTTAAGCTCAGATGCTCTCTTGGCACGGTATAAATGAAACTCTTAAATCAAGTCAAACAAATGCACTTGTTGATGCAATAAACAAGATTACTCTTCATTCAGATCTTTCCTTGTATATTTATGTATTCTTCTCTGCAGGCATGGCTCCTGCAGGGCAATAGCATGGGGTAGGTCAATGTACTCTACGCACAGCTAGAAGCAAACAATCCGAGAAAGATAGACACAATAGTATAGAGACCTCGCTGCAGATGTGCATTCCTTTGAGCAGTGCAGGGATATAGCCCTTAAATAGAGCTCTGCTGGAATGCAAACACACAAAGCAGAAAGATGAAGCCTGGGGGGGCGTTCCAGGAGTGAGAGCAAGGAGGTAAGTTGTAAAAAAGAAAATCTGCTGCAAGGTCTTTTCTTCTGATTTAGTAAAGTTTTTTTGAAGTTTTTCTCAACACGTCTGAGCATTCTAGGTCAAAGTTGACCCTTGAAGTTAGCCCTTAAAGGTGTTCCTAATGTTCTTGCTCTGCAAAAAAAAATATTTTATTGTGGAACTAGATGCAGCTGTGGTAAAATTTGATTTTTACCTTCAAATATTACTATTTGACGTCAGAACGCTTGTGTTTATACACCAGGCCCGCCTGCAGTGCATCAAACAAATGATGCAGCTTGAAATAGAGTCAGAAGCAGCTTTATTTGATAAGTGTGTTTGCACAAAGGTAACTAGGTCCAGTTTCTGGTACTGCTGCTTAATATATTCTGCTGGAACAATATTAAGAAATGCACAGAGAAATTTGCGTTCAACCAACCCGACTGGAGATTTAAATCCAAGTTCATGAATTGAGGCTAGAATTTTCAATTTCCTTCTGTTACCTTTTGCTGTGCAAATACAATAGAGTTGAGATTGGTTTGAGTTTTTTTCCCAGGGTTACCCAGCTCTTTTTGTTACCATCACTGTCTTTTTCTTGCTTTTGTAAGAGTTTTTCTGTGAATGATAAATAAACAAAGATGTACACTGGGTGTAGCTTCCTGAAGACATTTAACAACTTGGAAGTCTTTGCTGATGGACTTGTTTGTTGCTGTAAAACGAAAAGACAAAGCTTTAAGATGTAAAGTTGCTAACTAAGTCATATATTGCTTGTAGAAAGAGGTTCTGAACTCTTGTTCAGACCTTAAAAATCTGCAGTTTGGGTTTTCTATCTACTATAGAAACGTGTGTGCTGTGGGCTTTATGATTTAATTGGTGTTTAGTATATTTTAGACCATAAAATATAAATTAACAAATTCTGGGTGCATCTATGAGGCACTGATCTAAGATGGGGTTTGGGTTACAAAAGCAAAATCTAGAAGGAGAGGCGTTTATTATTCCTAAAAAGGGGGAAAAAAGAAGTGGTAATGTTTTGATTAGGATTAGAATTTTTTTTTAACCCAAGACTTTTCATTTTAGGATTTTGCTGTGGCCTTTTTTAAAGTAGCTTATGCATTGCAGCTGTGATAAGAAAGAAGCCTAAAACAAACAATAAAAAGGAAAAAAATAAAGAAAACATGAAAACTTTTCTTTATTTAAAGCAGCATTAGAATTTGTGCATTTACTCATTTTTTTAATCATAAGGGAGAGATTCCAAAAATTGTAAGAGCTAGTGAGTCAACTTCTGGATTTACAGTAATTCTTCAAAACATATTTATCATCGGAACTCAATCTGATTATATGTTTTATCTTTTAAATAAAATCTTGAAACGCACTAAATCGATTAAACAAATGAGTAAGAATCCACAGGCAAGGATTTCAACTTAATTTGCACTTTTCTGTTAAAATCTACTCCTCCGCTCTTTGACACTTGTTTTAAACAAACAGTGTGATTTGGACTCGGCTTGGACACTATCTGACTTATTTACTGTAGTTGGATTTTTGAACAACTCCTTTCATTGAAACTTACCTCCAGATAATTTATTCTGGATTCAGAGATGTAATTATTCAGCTTTGCCTTTCGCTTTGCCTGAATCCCTGCAGACCGCTCTGAGTCTTTACTCTAACTCAGGCCAAAAACCACATGTGCACAGGAAAAAAAACACTCTGTCTCCACATAGACCCTGATACAGACCTCCACACAAGCACGTACACTGTACATGCAAAGACACAAACTCTGACTGACCAGTGGCTCGGTGCCTGCACGCTCATATAATCGAATGCATACAGCGCTAAACGAAGTCCAAGCCTCCATATTCGCTCAACGCTCATATTTCACTAGTCACTCACAGAGGGCCCACAGCAATCAACTCCAAATTAGAGAGAAATCTGCTCCAAGAAGTTGAGAGCAGCTTGCCAGGTCTGAGGCCATACTCCACTTTGTGTGTATGTGAGAGATGGAGAAACAAAAGAGCCAGCCCTTGATATTAAACCAACTTAAAGGGGCCTAAAATGGGGTCTGTATTTCTCTGTGCTGCTGCTCATAGAGTTTCCTCTCCTCTCTAAACTTTACAGAATCCCTGTTAACTTATGCATTGATTTAAACTAAAGCATCTTTGTTATTTTTGTCTATCCCGGTTTGTTGACCGCTTCCAATTTTAGATTTTTAAATTTCCCATAGCTTTATAAGGCACAGGCTCAGGTGACATCAGAGTTTTCTAGGCTGCTTTTAATTAGAGCTTCCTATGAGTTTGCAAGTTTGCTTCTATGATAACATGTTTTAGGCATTTTTAAGCTTAAAAAGACAACCTCAAACTGGGTTTGAGTATGGGCTGAT